CTTCCTTCCTTGCTTCCTTCCTTCCTTCGAATTCCTTTCTAGCTTTATTTCTTCACCTTCTTCTTTTCTTTCTTCCACGGAACGAATTGGATTCTTGTCTTTCTTCCTTCTTTTCTTTATAGTTCTAGCTTCCTCTCCTTCGTTTTCTCCCTCTTCCAGTCCTCAAATATGTTAAATAGAAAAGAGCTCACAGTCATTACGCTCACACCTTTTGAACCATCCCACAACAATGTGTGCTTTTAATTCCCGTTAGATTAAATGGTAGACCCAACCATGATACACTGTCCTTACACGACTCATTTTTTTCAATCTCAAACCATCTCACAAGAATGTGTACCTTAGAATTGTAGAATTGAGCGTAGGAGTCAATTGATTCGTCGCTTTTATTGATTCAGGTGGGATGTACGAGATGGTTTACTTACTTACACTTTATTTTAATTATGGAAATTTGTTAACCAACGAAGACAGTTATACTTATATTACAACAGCCAAGTACTTCACCATACAGTATATTTTCCTCGTTTTTTTATTCTGGAGTTAAAATTTTCCTAAGATTTTGGCCTATTTTTAAGCCAAGGCTGACCAGCTCGTCCCAGAGGTGTTTTCATCCGTCATAAATCAATAAGTCAATTTGCGTTTTTGGTTGTAAAAAAAAAAGTAATTATTTCCGGCGAGTAAGTTTTTTTAATTTTGTCGAATATCAACAAAGCCATCGTATACCGAGGCGACGTCTTTGAAGTTAAAAACTGATCAAAAAGAAATTGATGTTGGTCAGGCAAGCGCGGCATTCGCACAACCCTGAGGTAAGGATTCGTTAAAACCCAAGTTGTAATCTATAGAATACCTAAAAAATAATTTTCTTCGACATTTGGCTATTTGAACGCAAACCAGCACGTATCAATAACTACTTCAATAAATAGAATAATGTTAGGAGTAAGATTTCAGTATTCAGTTGTTTAATATTTAAAGTTGATCTGTCATGACAGCTCGTAGTTTTACACCTGACACGACGTCCTGCTAGTACAAACTGAGATGATTTCAGTACATCGATCAATTAATCTTTAATGGAAAAAGTGACTCTTCCTCTGTAACTTCACAAATTCAAATATACTAAGTAAACTTGCTGGCTACGAAGAGAGGCATTTTCCCCCCGTATGGGAAAACCGCTTCAGTTTTGGCTGGAGTCATGGTATATTATTAACGTAGTGTGGTGTGGTGTAGTTTCATGTCGCGTGGTGTGATATAATGTAGTATATTGTGATTCTTAGTAATTGCAGTATACGGGTGTGACGTAGTGTGATGTAATGTTGTATTGTATGGTACGTATGGTGTGGTGTGGTGTCGAATGTGGTGTGGTGTGGTTTAGAGTGGTGTGGTGTGGTGTGGTGTGGTGTGGTGTGGTGTGGTGNTCGCCCTATGAAATTTTTAAAAAACAGAAGATAAGTTATCGGTGGAGTGGTGTGGTGTGGCGTGGTGTTGGTGTGGTGTGGTGTGGTGTGGTGTGATGTGGTGTGGTGTGGTGTGGTGTGTCGTGTGGTGTGGTGTGTGGTGTGTGGCATTGTAGTGTCAGGTATGGTACGTGCGATGTAGTGTATTGTGGTGTGTGTTGTGTGCGATGCAGAGTGGTGTGGTGTGGTGTAGTATAGTAGTGTGATCATGATGTGATGTGATATGTAGTGCGGTGTGACGTGCGTGGTGAAGGGAAGGGGAGAAACGAGGGTAGAAGTGGTCACATATATGAATTTCACCATCTTCCCATTCTACATAGTAACTGGCCAATAATCAATTAACAGTTTTAGAAGTTGAACGACACACGGCGGTACTTCAATGGGTCATGTGAGAAGGTTAATGAGGGTGCTTATATAAATGTATCTTGTTTCATCCTCAGACCAAATACATAAGGGCCCAAACTTCATACTGTTTCTCTTATTCGTCGTTCTTTGTTTAAAACAAGTCGTGCAGTCTTCTGGTCTTCTCATTCCATCGATGAGCCGTTTATAATAGAAAGACCTGCAATTAATCTTGAAACGAGGTAAGCTATCCACTAATCTTCATAGATAAACCTGTACGTTTTGTTACCGCACGCGTCAAACGAATGCATCTTTGTACAAAGCGACAAAGCATGGTAGAGACAGTGCCTAGGTACGATCAGATAAAAAGAGAAATAGACTTTGAAGAGGTAGTTTATAAGCGTGTGTGAATCAAGGGTCAATAATCAGAATAGACTGGCTCTTGATCTTGAAAACCCTGTTCACCTTTATAGGATGTCCTCATGTCTAAACCAGGATAAGTCCAATCTAGTGTCAAGGTCAGCTTTACTCTTGTGCAAGTCCAAACAGAACTTCATGGACGCAGTTCTGCCTCATTTTTTCCCCATCAATATTTTCTGTCGGTAGGGTAGATGATAGATGAATTCGGACACTAAAATTCGATAGGTGTTTTATTTATTGTTCTCCTTTTTTCTTGGCGCGGCATATATATCACCGGATATACGTCAACATTGAGGTCAGAGTCCGTGTTATAACTGGTTCAGTGCCTATCCTTTGTCAAACCTCAACCTTGGTGGTGCACTTGCAAGGATGTTTCGCATTATTCTCCCCTCCACATGCATCACATAACTGAGAGGAAACAAAAACCTGCATTATTTCTTGTACGCGGGGGGATGCATTTCGATGATATGGCTGTTTAATTTTCTTTCCCCTCAGGGGTGGTACGGTATGCTTTTGGCTTCTTGATCAGTTTCCGGTTTCTCTACCCTTCCATCATATCGATGGAACTTTTTTTCCCGCGGGGAAAGAATAAACCACTGCTACAAGCGACAGGTGTTTCCAAGTATATACTTCATTTACCTCGTAAGTTAGTCGCTAAGGAAGATGCTTGTCAGCTTTGAATTTCTCACACAGCTTCACCAAATTATCTACATGTCAGGTCGATATGACAAGAAAATATTTTCTTCCGAGAATGCTTCAGTAATGGGCTCTTGCAAATACTTAATGTGATCTTGTTAGTTTTAGGTTGTCAAGGAAATGGCGCATTAACATGGTTTGAAGTTAAAAAACCATTCTTAAAAGAAAAYAATCTGTGACGGAAATAAATAGGGTGTCGGACGTGTACAAAGCCGAAAAAATCAAATCCAAAAAGAGGTATTCATCGAATGTATCAGTTATTTACTTGATGTGACCTTTGGAACTGAAGAAAATGTAGCTGAATTTCTGTGGATACAAAATCTTTTGGACGGATGCAAACAAGAAAACTGTGTATTAACCACGAGGAAAAATTGTTAAAAACTTTTCACCGATTTAGCTTTAGTTTTGAAAGAAAACAAGCTTAACTTTTGTGTATTTTTTCTAGCTGATGAGAGTAAACTTGGTTGCTTTTAATAGTGAACGTGCTGGGGAAAATGACTTCCACAAGCAATTGTTATCGTTTGGTGTGAAGAATTGTTATTTTGTTGATATTTAAACGACTTTTATTCTTCTCTCTTCCTTAACCAACCCAAAACCTTGCTTCAACATCTTTGAAATGGTGATTCATGACCAAAAATCATCGCGCCAGACATGACTTCAAACTACATCAGTTCAGGAGTTTGTCAGCTTGATGGACGCGAAAATTGACGTCTCATTATTATTGACACAAAGTATAGAAAGACGAAGGTCAAATCACTTCTGATTGGTTTTTGTAACAAATTTGCATAAACATTAGTACCCCAACTACTTTACGAGACATTCTTCAGTAACATTTACACTGTTGGTAAGAACGGTACAGAACTTCATCTAACCTCGCAACATCATCATCAATGGAGTCATCAGTCTTTAGAAACTTTAACCCGGAGTGTGTACGCGATTTGTAGCTCGTTCCACGAACTCAATTATCTCTAATCAAGGTAGGTTCTAATTTCTTCCCATGTTTTAGGTTTCTAAGTAAATTTTCAGTGTTTGCGCCATATTTCTTTGCCCCTTTACCATCGTAAGATAGATTTACAAAGATAATCTCTCAATCAAACAAATTTGAAAACTCCTTTTGCAAACTTGTTTCAGTTTCGAAAGTTTCTAGCTCTCGTAACACGCTTTTATACCATCAGTCGTATATGTTAAAGGGTCGTACTAGTTTGTGCAAATTGTCTTACGACGTGTATCCGTTTTGCACATTTGAAACATCGAATGGAGTGTCAACTAAACTGTATCATCTTTGGGGTCGTAAAGTTCTACACTTGATCTTTGATAACTGATTTCTCGCACATCTTTTATATTTGGATTCAACGTACACAATATTCAATCCTCGGCATCTGTTCTAAGCCTAGTTATTATTTGTTCTTCTGGAAAAACTGTCTCTGTATTGTCTTCTTGGTGAGCTTCAAGCTACCGCCGTTTTCGTATTTATTTCTTCTTAGAGAAACTTCTTCACGAAGCGCTTTGCCTCTCGATTTGTAGTTAGAATAACTTTAGAAGTTGATGGAAAACTTTTTTTTCCCTCAGCGTATTTTTAGTGTCCAGTTGTTTATTGATGAGCTTAACGTCTGTACGAATCAATTCTTGACAAGATCAATATGTTGTTAGAAAGGTTCCTCTGGAATGTTGAAACTTGATAACACTCCTTCCAAATCAGTGTTCACTGCAACAACCATGCAAAATCAATAACAGGTTGCCTTCCCTTATCTTGAATTCCTTGTCCATGGCATGTCTGGTTCTCTAGAGTATTAACATAATTGCGTAGCACTTAGATGCTAAAACTGATTTCTAACACTTCGAGTCAACAGCAGCAGAGAGTTGGATTATTTGCATGCTTTATTGTGGTCAAACTTTTTCTGAAACACGACCAATAAAGTTATAGACACTCTCTCGATTCGTTCATGTATTGTTCAGATTTTATGCGTAAAAAAGTATTGTATTTGGACTGAAGGCGCCCAATTTGTTGGCGCAGCAGATCGGGCGAGAAACTGGTTTAAACTTGATAGATTGGTAATAAAATAAACGATCACCTTGATTTTAATGCGTTTTTTTTAAAAATTTTGATTCACGTTAATAAGCCCATCTAAATTTTATAGCGCTTTTCTTTGGCAACCATTTGGCACACGAATGGTACCGGTAGGGTTAATATCATTATAACCACATTTTATAACTAGTACTATTGTCCTAATCATCTTATCATTAGCGGATGGAGTTGATTAAGGAGAACTTACGATTTGGTATTTGTTCATTAAACTCGAATCCGCAAGCGAAACCAGTTCTGACACATCAAAACTAGAATTAACTATTGCTAAACTTCCTCCCAGAAGAATTTTACAAATTTCATACTCTTTTGTTGTCACCTATCCTATCCTAGTAGTCGGTCATCAACCAGCTTGAATGTAAGTTGGGTACTGTAGTAAGGTTGCTATAACGATAGCAAATTAAACATGAGAACACGAAAAACGAACTGGGTAAATCAACGATAATGAAGTAAAGATAACCTTGAATACAGATGGCGGTTCTTCATACGAAAACAGTATTTTGATCCTGTTACTTCTATCAAATTTACTGAAATTTCCCGCAGGAATTTTGTATGGCTAAAGAATGGGGTCGTTTACTTGCAGAACTTGCCTTACAAAGGCCTTGAAGAAACTTCTTATTCTTATCCTCTGTTTTATTTTTTATTGTCTTCCTTTGACAACCTTTCGTAAGCATACCAGTGAATTTAAAGCTAATTGGTAACATTTTCCAGAAAGTGTGATGTATTTACTTTGATGCCAAGCCAGTCTTCCTGTAGTCCTCTGTTTAGGTGTAGATATTGACTCAGGATCAATTGCTTGCTATGAATAGTATCTACATCAGCCGGTTTTTCTTTGATCTCTCAGTGGCTATCATCCTCATTTTTCTTTCTCTCTAGTTTTGTCTTACTGAATGTTTTAGATGCCAGTGATCTCAGACTATCCTCTGACAAATTCATTCAGAATACCCGAGGCCACGAGAGAAAAAAATAGTGAATGGTATGCCAACATCACATATTCGATTAATCCACATTTTCAATGAACAATCCAGTTCAAGATTTCCAGCCAAACTCTGAATAACCATAGTGCTATGAGAAATTCAAATAATAACTCGAGGAGGAAAAATTGAATTGCCAGCGTTAAGTGCAAAAATGAACACGCTTAAAATGTAGTTGCTCTTTGGAGATCCCCAATCTCGTGGAATCGTAATTGCTACCCTATATATACATGGTACATTTTTTCCAAAGGACGATACGCTAAACTTTGAGCTTACTTGTATGGAATTTAGCGCTTATAACTTAAGTAGTTTTACTGTGAATATAAATGTGTAGTTGTTCTAGTTATTTCAGAACAAATTAAAATCCCGGGCAAGAAATTATTTTCGAATTCAAATCTACTAATTTCTTTCGGCAGTCGCCCCGTTTTCCTCTCGGCGGCCTTTCACATCATCAATGGAGCTCACATCACATTTCCTCATAATAGTTATTTATTTTGTTCTCGAAGCTGATAAACTCATTTCCTACGTCTGAGAATAATATCATATCTGGAACATCATTACGACAATTAGTTGAAATCGCTAGAATAAGAAGAACAATCATCAAAACAAACAATGAAAACCTGTAATCTTCATTACATGGAAATTACTGGTGGGGTCGCACTCAATCTACCATTATGGGCGAGAGATGGCTTTACCTCATTTACCAAGAAAAACAAATAGCATCCTTCGTATTTGCACTAAAACTTTCGACAATAATGGCTTTTAAGACATGTAACATTTGCTTTTGAGATCCACTCATATTAGGACTTTCTCATTAGATGATCTCCTAATCCTTATCAGACACTGAATTCGTTATTGTATATATTATCCAGAAGATCAGCCGATAGGAATATGCTGGCTCAGGAGATGGTTGTTTTACTGTGGAGAAATTTCGGTAATCGATTAATGTATGCCAAATTTAGGTACTAGTCTGAGATACTTGAACTGGTAGATTGTTTTCTAGACATTGTCTGAAAGCCACCGACGATATCATATACACTTTTCCGTTCAAACCATGGCCCATGTTGACAGGTTTGTTGCATCAAAGAACAGTAAGTTATGGAATGAAAAAGCGATAGACATTTCATAGGACTGACTTTCTTAAGCTTGTATTTTTTAAATTCATCGTATTGAAATTACCGTTTAACATCTTTATTCAATACCGTTCAAATTAAGTTATCCATACGTACGAAACAGGATTAGATTATTCCTCATTTTTCTTTTGTCTAATTTTATTCACCAAACGATTTTTTTAAATTCTTATTTTTTCAGCATTAAACGTGAATTTCGTCAGCTTGATTATTTGTAATAATTACTTTTTCCACGCTTTTGTATAATAAGTATTTCTGGTCATATTTCTCTTGTTTTGTCAGGAGTTCTCATGCATCCTTGAACATCAGGCCAAGCCCTTTTCTCTTGCGTGTCGAAACTGGAACTTCGTTCGTAAATGATTTTACTAAGGGGATGGAGAATTCGATTTCTTATTTAGGGTTGTTTAGTTCCTGTACTGATTTATAAAACTGAGAATTCAGGACATCTAGGTAGACTAATATATGGTATTTCTTTGCAGATCTTAAAGACGTGTCACCATGAGTGTCAGCATGAATACCACGCTCAACGTGACCGCATCCAACGACTCCTTAAACTCTAACTTCACCAACGACACTCGCAGAAGACCGCTTGGCGGTCCTCCTCCTTGTCCTTTAATTACTACCGAGAATCTCGCATCAGCGGTCTGTTTCTCGATCTTGATTTTTATGATCTTAATGGGCAACTCGCTGGTCATTGCTTCCTTTAGGGTCAACCGCCGACTTCGAACCAAGACGAACTATTTCATCCTGTCATTAGCATTCGCTGATCTGGCTATAGGCTCCATAAGCGTTCCTTTATGGATCTACATAACTTTGTGTCCTGCGATACAGAGTCCAATGCACCCTAATTACATTRTAATGGAAATATGGAATGTTTTGGACGTTGTTGTTGGGGTGTCGTCGATTCTGAATTTAACCATGATTAGCCTGGAGAGAGGATACGCCTTGATGAGGCCAATACAACACAGAAATATCAAGAAAAGTGAGTAAGAATTACATCATAACGATGAAGGGGCAGATTTGTATTAGCCATACCGAGGTTGAGAAAAACTGGGTCGAGTTGGCATTGCAGTGTATTGTGGGCAATTTTTATGGGACGAAATAGACGCCATCTTGGAAAAACGTCCTCTAAAACAGTCCCACAATGCACTGCAATGTCAACTCGACCCACTTTTTTTCAACCTCGGAATGGGGCTGGTAACTGAGATCATCAACATGAAAAACGTCTGCGCGCACGCTCTAAGTCCGTATGCAAACTAGTCTTCATGTAAAAATATGTAAATTTGACTTTCAAACATGCCTGACAAAGGGACGCCACAAAATGCCAAAACTTCGTATCCATGCTTGAAACTTAAGGCTATAATTCTTTGATTGTCTTTATTTATACAGTATCTTGGTCCCACAAAAGTATTCTCGCGAAAGTTTTTGTATCCTCGGAGAAAACAAACATTTATTTTCTCACTCAAATTCTTCTAAATTCTTAGAAAACGTATTGAAAGACACGCATGCGCAAACGATTTTCTCTGGTGATCATCTTGGATCATTACAGTCACGTTTGAATCGAATGATAAATGGTAGTTATTCCTGTCCTCTAGTCCGAATGGACCAATGTCCAATAGACCGAGGGGTAAGGGCGAGAGGACTAATTGTTTTAGTCAAATCCAACTAGCCGGTCAAATATATAGAAGCAAACAAGTTTTGAATTAAGACTAAATTTAATGATTTGGTATTCAAAGCCGGAACTTATCGATATCCTTTTACCATGGATGTCAAAAGCACGGATATCCTGTATCAGCTCTTAAATTTCTAATTTGATCTACTGATATTGTAACAGGCCTCTTTACCTTGGGCGTAAGGTTTTCCCTTTTCAGACCACGTGTCATTCTCTTGAGAAAAAGATTCTTTGTTTGAGTTGTATCTGTATTCACGCGTCTCCTCATCCACAACCGTTAAACAAAGAAATGATACTCTAGGGAATGCCACGCGTTCTGAAGTGGGAACATATTTAGCCGAGGTTAAGATGTCTATATTTGACTTTTGATTGCAGGGATCATAGTGTTCGCCATCTTGATAGCGTGGTCATTAGCGTTGTTTGCAGGATGTTTGCGCCCAATGCCTCTACCAGAAGATGCCAAGAAGGCCTACGGGATAATTGTTACTGTAACCTTCTTCATTGTACCGCTTATTATCATCTTAACTACCTACGCTGTAATTTTTAAGATTGCTCGTGCGCATGCTCGCGGTAGAGGAGTCCGTTCATTTAAAAAGGTAAATTGAAATATGTATTGATGGTTTTCACGGCCGCCATGTTGGATGAATTCAACAAAAGATTCATTATAAGTCTCTTTTGTTATATCCTCCAACATGGCCGCCGTGTCTTTTGTTATTTTATTCTCTTGGCGATCATTGAAAACCAGCAATTGCACTTCTCTACATAGCAATGAGTAACCCAACACATTGCACTAATTATCCATTCTCCTGTGTGTGTTGATCGGGATGGTGTTGTTAATGATGTCAATGATGATTATCAAGCTTTTGTTGCTAATGATCTTGATACAAACAAATGAGACGACCATTTTCACCCCATGCCATAAACTATGCTAATAGGACGTTTTCATGATGGCGTCATTGACCTCTACTACCAGACTCCCTTGCACAATTTCTTTTGTTAATTTAATTAGCACCAGTTGTCTTACTATTCTCATGAGGGAATACAAATTTAAATAAGAAAGAAATTTTGCGAAGCATCTTGGTAGTGGGAGTCAAATGATGCCATCATGCAAACGTCCTATTGTTATATTCCTTTTGGATGGTACGTACGACAGGCTGACTTTCAGTGGACGTCGACACTTAAAGGCGCTTCCATGACATTTCATAGGCAAGTGCCTCAGTCTTGTTTCTAGACATTGTCATGGAAACACTTTGATTGACGTCCACCAAAATTCTATATTTGTCCAGAGCGATCCAGGTGGTGTAATTGTTTATGTAATAGATCAAAAAACGAGTGCGAGTGTTTGATCAGGGCATCCAAACACCGAGAAACAGATGAAAGCACGAGGCCGTTTTTGAACCAGCTTCTTCTCAGTCTCATTATAATTCATTTGTTCTTGAATCTCCTGAGACTAAAAAAGTGATCAGTGTTTTGATCAGTGTCTTGATCCGTTTTTGATCAAGTATCAGGGTGCGTGCACGTGACTACAATGCAAAGTTGTCATTGGTCATTGACCTCATGAAATATTAATGAGTTTGAGAAGTAACGTTTTGACCGTCAACTAATAAGCCCCAGTGGTACGAAGTAGGTTGAACTTTGGTATCAGTTATAGTGAAATGAAACAGTGACGTCTAATATTTGCTAATACATGCCTCTTCTTTATCCCCAGGACTTAAGAATCGCTACCACAGTTGCTGTTGTGATAGGGTTTTTCTCTGTTGCTTGGCTTCCGTTTTTCTCTCTTAACTTTCTATTTTCCATCTGTTTTCGGTACAACATTTCCGTGTGCAGGAAGGTACCACCGAAAATAGTCCCATACATCAAATGGATGCAGTACGGCAACTCCGCGTGTAACCCCATAATCTATGGTTTCCGAAACAAAGACTTCAAGCTAGCATTTAAGAAAATTCTATTGAAAATGTGCGGCAAGGACATCGCTCTTACTTCGTACACCCGAAGTACTTACGTCAAGACAGCGAGGAATCGCTTCGTGCGTTCGGATTCCAGTTTCGACGAATCCCAGTCGGTGCTCTACCCAGATCAGATCGTACCTCCTGGAATGTACGACATGAGGGAGAGTTACAGAAGCGCGATCGATCGAGGTCATAGTTTACCGAAGAAGCGCAAGTCTCCAAAGAAGAATTTAGCGCACGGGTTGATGGCGTTAAACGTGGAAACCTTTAGTATGCCAGTTGACTCCCCTGAGAAGAATACTTCCAAGTCAAATCCTTCAAAACCAGCATCCGAGGTTATGTCGGATACAAATAGCAATACCGCTGACACCAAATCTAGTCCGTCAAAAAATGGGATCCACACGTCCTTAGATATTGATATCTATCCCTATGAGGGCACGAGGCTAGCACGTGATAAAGGTGTAATCAATGAATCGTTTGTGAAAAGCCAAGAAGACGTGACCGGAAGTCAAACGAATAGGTGTAGTTCGCGTGTTTCATTTGCTGATACAAATGGTATTGCTAATGGAGGATTGGTCATTGATGAGCAAGAATATCATCTAGATTTAACAATTCCTCTAGAGCAGAAAGAACGTTCATATTCTGACGTGACGCCCGTGTTATCTAAAGACGACGATGGGCCTTCTGGTAATAGACGTTCATCGCTTACGTAAACCCCCACCCTATCCCCCTTAGCAGTAATGATACGCTGTCATCACCATATAACGACATATTGGTGAAAAATGAAACAGCCATATATATTAGGGCAAGGACATATGAATGCTGATTAACCAAATGCTTATATGCTAGCCTCTTTGTACATAAAATACACAAAAACATTTAGCGTGATATCGATTGAAATATCGTAAAATATACTTTTTGAATGATTGATAATTGTTAAATCTGCAACCAAACTACACGTTATTTTAGCATAAGTTTTCTCTTATTTTATCTTAGAAAATAAGTTTTAAGGATTTTAAAGGTATATGATTGAATTTTATGAATTTAAAGTTAGATTTGTAGTATTATATTTTTAATATTAGTGGCTGCTTTAAAATGAAAATAGCTAAGCTAACTGGAATAAGATCACGTGACCTATCAAGGAATCACGTGATCTTTGTTATCACGTGACATAATCTCTTACGCTTTCAAAGAGAAACAATTGTAAATATCTAAGCAAAACTGCACATTTAAAAGTTTTATATTATAGTTTATTTGAAAAACATTTGTGTTTTTTAGATTAATACTACTCTTGTAGTGGATTTTTCATAGATCTGATAGGTTTTCCCTTTTAATTTCTTGTGAATGTGTGGGAGTATAGTGTTTCTTCAAGTGAACTTTATAAAATCTTTTATTTTTTTAGAATATGATGTTTATATATACTTCACCAAGAAAAAAAACCTATACAAAATATGGAATTAAAAATTTTTGTAAATAAAAAAAACAGGTTTGTTGTTTTTTGTTGTTGTTGTTGTTGTGTTTTTCCTTATTTATTCTTTTTATATTTTTTTATTTAGTTTTGTTTGTGTCTTTGTTGTTGTTTGACCAACAACCCTAAACTGTTTTTAAAATTAAAGCCGAGTTTACAGATTGTAACGTGACGACAAATATCGTTTACAGCAAGACGACGTTATCATTTTTCTGCGTGACAGCTGGTAATGCAATCCTCCTTCYCTTAAAGGTTAACAACCATGTTTTTAACAATTTTTGTCTCTGTGGTTTAAAGCAGTAGAATAATTATGCTCATTAATGGCTCATCCTATAAAAACAAGCTTTTGTTTTTAAGAACCGCTTGAAACAAGAGAATTGTGGTTAAAAGTTGTTGAACATCGTTAATAATTAATGCAGTACTGCTCTGAATTCCGGTCATTTGAAAAAAGGCTCGTAAAGTCGAGTTTTATTTTTCCAGCAAAATTACGTCTTTTCACAACTGCAACAATTGGCCAAGAGCACAAAGGGATCCCATATCTCATCATCGGAACATCTGCTTGGCTTGATAACAAACGCCGCTGATTCGAATCGCGTGCTCACATGAGTCAGACGTAAACATTGTTGACAAGGGATCGAAGGAGAAAGATAGACAGAAAATCAAGGTAATTCGGGGATTTACTTGTCTTTTGATCTCGTATTATTTGCCATCGTTTACAGAAAATACTTCATGATTATTCCTTCCGCTAACACAAATCAAACATGGAATACTAACTAAGAATGCCAGAGGAAAGTCTTTGTCTAATTGCTATCATCTAGAGCCCTGGAAACGTTCTTTTTAAAGCCGCGGCCAGAGGTATAAGATGTTTCATGTATGTGATTTAAGCTCCAAGCTCGTCCTTTCTTGCGTTATTTCTGGCGCTCAAAATTCAACCTTTATAAGATTTCCTTTTTACTTACTAACGGGGAACAGAAACTGGACCGAAATAACTTGAAAGCGCCAGTATTCATTGGTGACTTTTTAAAATACATCGGCTCAGTTTTCTGACTTCAGCTGTCAAAAATTTGAATTATTGACAGATAGATCCCAAACCTATCGTATTCACTGAAAACCTTATAAATCAATAAATGCAGCCCTTATCAAATTCTCTTCGTTTGCCCTTCTCTTGGGACTCGGGTTTTCGGGAGGAATGTGGTGTGCAAATAGGATGTATATTAATGAAATTTTTCAATTTTTTTTTGTATCCTTAATTAGTATACACACAAATATCGAATGACGTCTGCAGAAAATAATAACATTCGTTTATTTTTTTCATTTGTCGGCAAAAACGTCGAAGATATTACTTTAAAAGATTTTTTCTTTATATTTAATCGTTGTCTTAGAAACATAATCGGTATTTACGTAAATGGCAGTATTTGCTAGCCAAAAAAATAAAGATTGTATCAGAACTGGTTTCAAAAAAATACCTTTCTAAGTAAAGGATGGAGATTCATGACAAAGATTTTCTCTTAATCTTTCAAATATTTGTTCAGGATATTAAGTTACATTAAGCTAGACATTTGAAACATGAACAAAATAATTTAAATCTACTCTTTCTTGGTGTATATTAAGGTTAGATTCCAGAGACTTTCGCGAAGAACTTTCGCACCTTCACGTTATAAATAATGTAGAATCATTATTTAAAATACAATTTGAATTTTCAGTGTTTTTCAAACCAAAGTTTTTTTCGTGAAATACCGCATATTTGTTCTACTAATCAAGCCACTACAAAACAAATAAATTGTTTTGAAAGCCGTAAAATACACCCACACTTAGTTGAACAGTAAGGGGGAGATTCTGATATTCAAACGGGAATTATTATAACAATGAGTCGCTATCCCATGGTGGGTAACACTTTTGAGATTATTTCATAATATTCATGTATTTCTTACGTCGCAGCAGACAATAAAGCCAACAGTTACTCGTGCTGCTGTTAATAGTGTACAAATCATTGTGAGCTCCTGTAAGAAGAMGTTATTGAATGATGTAACAGCCTGACTACGTAAAGAGAATACTTATCTTGATCATCTACCTATATTTCAACAAATGTATCCTAAGTATGGTTTATTGTATTGGCCTGTGCGTGATGACTATTCTAAACTGTCTGTCATGTACTGCAGGTAAGGTTTTATTTTTATTTAACAGTGTGACTTCAACCCAATATATATTTTTTCGAGTACAAACACGATCCCAAAAGCTTCACAAAACAAAATATTATGGTGAAGATATATGTTAATTTGAATAAAATATCCAACCTACAAATACAATGAGAAGATAGATATATATCGTTGATAGTTGGATTGTGGTTTAGAAAAAACTTCCAATGTTGTTAACGATAAATGTTAATAAACTAGTATCCGTTCCTCTCAGTTTTCATTCATTAATTCATTCATTTATTCTTCATTTTCTTCTTTCTATTAATTCATATTCATAACTTCATTTATTTATTCAGTCATTGTTTTATTCTCTTTTTTGTTTCCTTCCTTGTTGTATTCTCACACGAACATTTTAAGTAGAATGATTTTGCGAAGTATACGTAATTTCGCGATAAACTATCAATTTTGTCTATCAAGACAAAAATATCGTCGTTTTAAAAAATTGATAACACTCTGACCACAATACATTTCATCCATTATAATTTCTTAAATCTCATTAATCAAATAGAAGGAAACTGACCACCACCATGATAACCAATCCGGCATACTATGAAATTACACAACACCGGTCGGTGAACTTTCTAACCGCCAGATATTGCGGGTAGTATGTGGTTAGGCGGTTATGGTATATCTTGCTAATCGAAATCTTGGTGGTTAACCATTAGACATGACAATGTGAAGTAGTAGAAGTGTCTAGGAGACAGTTTTGACGATGTTAGGATTATAGTTGGATTCTTCTAAATGTTTTGAAAAGAAGGTTTGTTTTTACACTGGAAGTGATTGACTGTCGACTGACTGTCTGACTGACTTTCTGACTGACTGTCTGACTGACTGACTGACTGACTGACTGACTGACTGACAGACTGATAATTTCCCCTATTATATTTTGTAGGTGTTCAAAGTGATCGCTTACGACCAAGTCATCCTACCACCAAAGTGGTAGCAACCGTGGGCTCAACAGCCCGGTTAAACTGTTCAGCGGTAGCCACCCAGAAAAACGTCAGCATCGCATTCAAGTGGTTCAAATATGGCAGGCCATTATTGGAAGTGACTTCCAGACGTAGGGACAGTATTTTTAGGCTTGGTCGTCACGTGCTTGTGTTTGACGAGGTTCTATTGGCTGATGCAGGAAGGTATATGTGTATGAGGATAACTGGTCATAAAACTGAGAACTGGACCTTCAACTTGTCTGTTAAAGGTATGAATAGCCAGAGTAGATGAAACGACTCCTAGCCTTTCTGCTTATGCCTTTATTAATACGCACCGCTGTGATTGGACGATTAACACGACTGACAGTGGAAAGCCAGTTCAATGTTATATGCGTATCCTCTTAGCCACAACTAGTGAAGAAAGAAATAATACTCAGGGTGCGCTTTTGTTACCCTTACGAAAACTGCGCAACTCGTATGTTATTGAGCGGAAATGTTTACTAGGTCGGGCTCTCGTGAGGTCTTTCCCCTCTCACTCCAGTGCTCTGCGACTCTCGAACGAAGGACACTGGAACAAGAAGGCTTGAATTTATTAGCATTGCACTACAAACGTTTTTCCTTCTTATAATACTTAAGCACTTACAACTATTTGTGTTTTTTTCTAGAACCTCGAGAACATCCCATCATCGTCGACGAACCTCAAGGAAACATGTCCACTACGTTAGGYCAGACTGCAATTCTTAGTTGTAAAATACAAACTCAATCAATCACGTATATTGAATGGCGTTTTCTTCAGTCCATTCCTACAAATACTTCAAGGAATATCTCAATGAAGGAATCGTTTATAACACCTTCGACAAAAATCGTACCGACGAAGTTACGGCTGCGAGTTGTCGTTCCTTTACTCTTGGATGGTGCGTCGGGAAGCCGTCGTACGACAGTCGGTGAGCGCCGACAGATTCACGAAGATCTTTTGTATATTTATAATGTGTCTTCTAATGATAGTGGTACATATATCTGCTTGGCTTTTAATAAGTATGGCAAGGCAATCAAGGAAACTACGCTAACTATATCAGCAGGTTAGAAACTTATATTCTTTATTAATGATATATATATATTTTTTCTTAATATATTTCATAATAATTTTGAGAAAATTACTTTAAAACTGATGCGTAAGAATAGGATAGGATAGGTAAAGATAAGTGAGGCTAGAAGGTATTGATCTGGACATGTTGATCATTTCATAGTCATGTGACCTGGCATGATCACGTGACATGCTTTAAAGCGATTAGTCGATCCAACTTACGCTCCATCCGAAAAATCAAGCTTTACCTTTTTTTTTTTTGGAAATACTGACTGGGAACGATTTAATGGCAATGACTTTTACTCCAATAGGTTTCTCACTATTTCCTCTCTATATATATTGTTATGATTGTTTAGAGAACAAACACCAAGTGCCCGATACCCAATCGTGTCTTCAAGGACGTACTAACTATTCTCGCAAACCCAATCAAACTAACTCCGTATTTTTATCACTAGCACAAAGTACAAAACCAAGTTGTGTTCCAAGGAGTTTAGCAGCCGATGATTCCAATATTCCAATAGCCATTTTGATAGCGATTCCTGCATTTCTGTTCTTCCTTGCTTGCACAGTAATAATAAGGGCGCTCGAAAAGGCACGACAACAAAAGAAATTAGCCAAACTAGCTAAAGCAGAAAAGGAAAGAGAGAAAGAACAAAAACAAGAAAAAACAAAAGATATTATCCAATCAAAATCAAGTCTTACTGATATTAACGAAAATAGACCTGTAGCCATGGTAACGGCACAGAACTTTAGGCCGGTGCACGTGATCGATGAAAGAATTCGAGCCTTCAGTACTGATGAACAGCGGTTTGATTCCATATCCACGTCATCAGCGTCTGAGGTAGAGGTAAGGCGCTAAAGACTATAATTGAACACGATTGGGGGGGGGGGGGGTGAGGTTAAAATTTGGTTATGAACTGGCCTCTCTTACTGGCTATCATGATTGCTATCATATCATACCTGATACCCATTTTTTAATTTCTCTTTGTTGTGCGCACTTCAACCACTCCATTCCCACAATCCAAGCACTTGTCCAGGTACAACAAATGGGTGCCTGGTAAATCATACTCTGGTATGTATGGTATTCTTGCTTGCGCACACCTCGACCACTCCAAGTGCGCACAAGGTGATCCTATCATTCCCGACTTCCAACCCAAACACAACGATAAAGAACTAAGTAAACATGTTTTCTCTTTGGCTTCCTTTTTTGAGAATATCGACTACTTCACTAGGCAATCAAATATTCTTTCTCTCCTTGATTGAAATTCGTATTGGTTATTCGACAGGTTGTTCTTACCGACAATAAACTTGCTAATCAACTAAGCCTATCCAAACAAAGCTCTCTTCCAAGTAGCACCGACATCCCTTACACCTCACCCACACCAGACCTCGTTAGCTCGTCTAGCTGTGGAGTAGAACTTGACTGGGAAGGTATGGATCTTAATATACCTGATGGAATAGAACTGGTTGAACTGTCTAGAGAAGCAGAAGTTTGACAACAGATAGCAGCTATGGAATTCTTTAAAATTAGACTTGTATTCGTATGTAAAGATATTTTACTTGCAGAAGAAATGTAAATAACAACGTGTGCAGGTTATCTGGAAAAAGTGAGTTTTTATTGGCTTGTAAAAGTAGGTTATTTCTTAAAGCAACGCCTTTGGAAATCAGACAGTTTCAGTACGATATTGAGATATGCTGAAGAGATTTGAGAGTCCAAAGTAAGCATCAGTTGGCTGGCAAAACAGCTCGTGCTAAAGAGTATGACGAGAAAAGAAAGTAAGCTAAGGATTTATATTTTACTCTAGCGATAACAATTCATGACATTGATGTTTGTATTATTTAAAGTGAATGCCTAAGTAAAGTTTTAAATATATATACTAATATCATTGATGTATATATATTCTCCTAAAAGAGCCTATGTTTATATTACAGCCTTTTATCTCATTCAGTTGAGCCAAAACTGAGCGATTGTTGGATGCGAGTTTGAGTCGAAATTTAGGAGAAAACCCCAGAAAAATGAGGAAACTTGAGCGCGACGTCATTTTAATGAAAACAAAGGCTTTAAATTCTTAGTTTATCGGTGCATACGACCTAACATTTGTTATATTTTTTCCCGTTATCATGAGATACAAACTGGATATAGCAAAAATAGCATAGAATGGAAAGTATAGTAAATAATGGTTTGAGAGCTAGACAGGAAAATTACAACATTAAAACATACACTATTTGCATTAAGAATATATGGTACCATGGATACACTAATTGATTCCAGCATGTGTCTACTCGYGTACAGTTCTGGAGCTAACTCTGGGCTTTTTTTGAGTCAAGAAGAACGTTTACCGCCCTTACCCTTCTGGCACATCAGTTGCTTGTAACATTGAGAAGCATTGTTCGACGTTTTTCGTGCCGGCTTTTATACTCAGAAATATTGGGAGGAAACCTGGCAAACATCCAAACAAATCAGTTGAAGGAGACTGAAAAAGTCAAGCTCGGTCCATGATGACTGACAACTGGATGGGTTGCCAAAGTGCTCAGAACATAAATATTCATTGTGATGACTAGTGGGGAGAGCTTTGAACATAAAGTCACGTAATATTCTTGAAAGGATTGTAAACAAGTCCTTGGGATTCCTGTACATGATAAGTTCAAGAACACGATCGATCAACAGGACCTTTGTGACGACGCCTAGGTCAAGGACATTACGTCATGTGTCGAGTGTTATAAAAAGCAGACCACTGGAAGTCGCAGTAAAGTGGTTTACTGATTCATAAACCATTGAATCATGGAAGCCATTGTCTTGTTACTCCTGCTTGGATGTCTTACCGTTCATGCCAGCTATAAGGTATTTTGTGACGCCACGTGTGTTTATTCATCCCTTTGCTCCCCATAATCTTCTCTGGTTTGAGTAGCTCGATAACAATCTGATTTTACAGTCTGCGCAATATTCGCGTGTGTAAAAATTTCACCGTCTCTCTTGATGTTCTTCACAACTAGATGCACTTTTTGACATATGGACTGGCAATTWAAAAAAAATTATGTCGTCTTTCGTTTCAATTCCCTTGAATTTCTTCATGAGTAACTGTTCGTGTATTATATTAGTGCCTCTTTAGGATTCTTAGCTCATTTGGATATCAAATTATTGAGTATTTCCTTAGAATATTCACCACAAATTGCTGAGAAAATTTGAATAGCTGACGTTCGATATTATGGTAGAGTTGTCGAGCACAAAGCAATCCGAGTTGAGGCTCTGGGGTCCCTTTTTTGGCTATTATGTTATCTCGTTTGCGAGTGTTTTATTTTTCTTTGTATTAAGTATATGTAATGTGAGCGTTGATCACCTTGAAGATTCGAGTCAACGTCAATCAAGGAACTCGTGATTCAACAAGTGTTGACGTGCAGGCATCTTATGTTGTGTGGCGCAGGCATCCGTTCTTAGTTTCCTACGCAGCCACTTCGTGCGCCATCTTGGTTTAACATTAGGGACAAGCTCAAAGTGGTCCAAAATAGGAAACAGATTATAAATACTATAGTCTCCCTCGCATCCGTTTTTAGTGTCGGTCGTCACGCAACTTTGTTGGGAGGGAGCGTTGCGTGACGACCGACACTAAAAACGGATGCGAGGGAGACTATRAATACCCCGTCTCCCTCAGGAAACTGTGGAAATGCTCGACGCTGTTTAGCACACATACATACAAAAATGCAGAACAGTCATTACTGACTATAGTTCGACTTTTAGTTTTGGAGATATTTGAGAACAACGTCAATTTCAAAGTTGGTTGGTACTGAATTCCCCACCCCTCCCCTCTTAATCGGGTCCCATAAGATGACAATACTTTTAACTTATTCCTTTCTAACACCTCTCTTTATTTCTGTAGTGTTCAGACACCCTGGCGTGTTCAGCGACCATGCTGAGCGATGTCAGTCAGTGCATGACCATCCCATTCAGCATTCAATCACTTACGAGTAACAACTTTAAAACCTGTAAGAAAGCGTGTGAGGCTCATATTGCCAAGAAGAAAACCATTTGTCAAGAGAACTGTCCCTCGCGTAAGTCTATCGTAGTGATAAAGCGTGGGTGGTGTGGTAGACCTTCAAACTCAGAGATGGAAAAATAGAAAACTCGCGCGCGTGCTCTGCGTAGTTATAAAGCACGCGGGGTACGCAGAACACGAGAAAAGTGTTAGGAGAAGCACACAAGCCTAAGCGCTTTTCAACACCTCTCGAGTGTTCTGCAAATCCTCAAATTCTACATAACTTCACATAGCACAGCAGGCAAGTTTGTATTCCTTTCATAACCCACAAAGTAGAATAATTGCATTATTTTGTACACAAACGAATGACGAGATATAAAACTTGCGCACGCGCGCTGTGTGCTCTCAAAGCTTCCGCTCCCAACCAATAAGAGAGCGAGATTTATGGCAGTTATTTCATAATTCAAAATGGTAAACTCAATATATCCCCTCACACTCCCCATCTTCCCTGTTGGAGGAAGGACTACATAGCGTACCCTACCGAGACCAATAATGTAATAGTAGCACCAAAATCAGGTTGTTTTTTTTTAAACACAGGAAAATGTATGGAATGTGTTGAAGCTGCTGAGAATTCTGTTAAAGAATGTAGACGGTTCTACCAGAAGATGAATGGCAGCACGTCTGATTGTGATACATTCGAGAGACAATTGATCAAGTGTTGCTCTAACAATGCGGCTTGTAAAGGTAAATATTCAAAAAAATTATCAATAACCTGAAACAACCTCTGGGATGATCTGAGTCAGGGCATGGCTAACTCACAGAT